ACAAACCTTTATGAGCAGGCAAGCACAGTACAGTCTGTTCTGTAAGCCCAATGTGGTCCCAGTTCTCTATTTTTTTAGTTGCTCCAAGCAACATTCTTCAAGAAAAGTTAGCCTATGGAAAAGGAGACAGCATTCTAGAGGCAGACTTCTATTATCTGTTTAGCAACAACAGGTAACAGAAATTTAGTGATAATTGAGAAATCCTTCTAAACCAGTGGTTGAATATAGGACTATAGTAAAGAAAAATTGTGAAAGACTTATAAATGGACCAAAAGATTAGTAGGTATTTTCAGTAGAAAAATATGCATTGTCGTCAACCCCCAGCTGGTAGTGTCTGTGGACTGATAGGAACCGGGCCGCACAGCAGGAGGCGAGCAGCAGGCGAGCAAGCATGACCAGTTGAGCTCAGCCTCCTGTCATTAGATTCTCATAGGAGCCCAGACTCTATTGTGAACTGTGCACGTGAGCGATCTAGGTTGCATGCTCCTTATGAGAATCTAATGCCTGATGATCTGAGGTGAACAGTTTTATCCTAAAACTATCCCCCATGTCCCCCATCCTGTGGACTAATTGGCATCCACAAAACTGGCCCCTGGTCCCAAAAGTGCTGGGAACCACTGGTTTAAAGAACACCTTTCTGATTATTCGATTCTATGTAGTGTCTGCTTTTCATTGTCTGAGCTATTTTACAATTCTGTAGATTTAAGTTAACTTGTAGAAAACTGGCGGTAGGGCAGATAATTCTTATCTATACACTTGCAAATAAATTCTGTCTGGTGGAGGTTCAGTTGACTTCCCCTCCCTACAGTGGAAGAAACCAGTTTTGTACCTGTTTAAGAAATTCATTTCAGCATTACTCATGGGCTTATGTTTGTTTGGTCTTAGAGGTCTTCTCTGAATAAGCTGTTATTTCTTCTCTGGTTTCCTCATTAGTTAATGAGACAAATAAAATCTTTCATACATACATGTTCTTTTTATATTATAAAGAGTCATAATTTTACTGATTTAAAAAAATTTATTCTCACCACCAAACCTAAGGGCTAATTTGGACCTGGCCAGATTTTTATAGGCTGTTCACCAAAGAGTGAGGAGTGAATCCAAAATATTTCATCCAGTTTCCAATCTACATATCTTAAATATCTTTAATTTTATAAAATATTTTATTCAATCTATATACCTTGAATATATTTAAATTTCACTGATAAACTCCGAATTTTAACATTTGTCATTCTAAATACTGATTGGAGATCCTAGCTTATTATGTTCCATATCAAAGCTTCAGGGGTTGATCTAGATATGACGAATAGAAGTGCTTGTATTTCTAATGTGGGCTTCCTAATAAAATTATAGTTGCTTTCCCTGGAGTGCAGATTTTCAGTCAGAGGAAGTGACTGACTCTCGTTAGAGCTAAAGCTTAATTTTTTTTTTTAGATGGAGTCTCACTCAGTCACCTAGGCTCTGTCTCCTAGGCTAGTGGCGTGATCTTGGCTCACTGCAACCTCCGCCTTCTGGGTTCAAGCAATTCTCCTGCCTAAGCCTCTGGAATAGCTGGGATTACAGGCAAGCACCACAATGCCTGGCTAATTTCTGTATTTTTAGTAGAGACGGGGTTTCACCATGTTGGTCAGGCTGGTCTCGAACTCCTGGACTCAGGTGACCCACTTGCCTTTGCCTCCCAAATACGTGGGATTACAGGCATAAGCCACTGGACCCGATCTCAAACTTTAATTAAATGGCATATTTATAGTACTATAAGACCTATGGTGGTGTATTTTAATATAAATTACAAACATCATAACATTGCCTTTTAGAGAAATTAAGACAAATCTTCATAGTTGAAAATCTCGCATTCTAACAGTACATTAGTTCATGTAATCTTTAAACACAAAGTAATTTGGTATTCATATTGCTAGAAAATGAAAAGTTGATAAAATCTCAGTTGAGTTCAAGTGAATTCTAACTTGAGTATTATAAAGCTATTCACAGAAATCTGCAGAAAGAATTTGAATATTCAACCTCAATATAATGTGTTTTTGGAAAAGGGAGAGGAAAGATTTATAGAAAGTGGATAGTAATTTACATATAATAATAGTGCTTTACATTTATATGCCACTGATAACTATTTTAAAGTGAACTTGTGACGCAATAGCAGTGAGCCCCCAAAATCCAACAGCATTTCAAGCCCATTGGGCTAAGATTGATCCTAAGAAGAAGCAATTTTTTCTTCAGTGTGAAGGGAGGTGAGGAAGACATATTTAAAGAAAGATTCTTTGTGTTATGGTGGGAACTGAGAAAATGTTTTCTTCTCATCTAATGCTACAGAGAAACCCACGTGAATATAAGGAGAGTTAGTTACCTACTTAAAGCCATAGGATGGAGTTCATCTGAATCTGAGAGGGACCTCACTTATAGTTTTGACAAAATTCCATTTTTATTGCATGGAATTGTGCAATAAAAATCAGGAACAGGCTTACCAGTTAGAGACACAGTAAATGTTCTGTTGCAAATCTGGGGGCAGTTGAAGCCAAAGTCCCATATAAGATGGAAACCTTTAACAGTTGCAGAGAAATTGAGGACTGACCACTTTATGAGCGATACAATCAGAGCAGCTTGATTCAGTGAGAATTGTAGCTATAAGCAGTCTGGATTAGAGACAGTATTGAGACAACAGAAAAGGGAAATGGGGCAAAATATTTCTCTCAACAGTTTGGCTAAGGGGCTCATTAACACTCTAGATAAGGGGTTTGATTAATTTCCATCAGAACTGCATTCTTAAATCTGCAAGCAATATGTAATTTGCTGTACACTTTTATGCTTGGGATGTTATAAACTCATGCTATTTCAGGATGTTTTAGTGCATATAAAATTTCAAAAAAGTAACAAAGTTAAAGAAATAAAATGTAACTTAAAAACTTTTAGGTTATGTTAAGAAGTATTTGAATCAGGAGAACCTAGTCTTTTAGTTTCTATCTTCATAGATCTATGAAGGTTCTTTTGTAAAAGATGGTAGAACAAGGGAGTTTCATTGGATCAGTCAGCTCTTATTTCCACCATGTGGCTTTTCACCTCTGTTATTTTGCCATGCTCTCCCTTTTGTCTAGAATCACCTTTTCCACTCCAACATCAGCACTCCCCTGTCTCCTGCCCCCAAACACCAGGATAACTTATCCTCTCAAACAGCTTACATTGAATTTTTGCTAAAAACCTCACTATCCCACACCTGTGTGCTATTCTGTGCATGACCCTATGATTGCATTCTTGCATTTTACTTAAATTATATTTCCAACTCGGTATTCCCAAGCTGTGAACCCTCTGGGGTCAGAAGCTATGTCTTATCCATCGTTGTATCCTTAGCACCTTGCACTGCTTGTCCAGCACACAGTCTTCCAACACTGAGTGGAAGATTGAAGGGGTGAGTGAACTGTAATTTATGGCTCATTGAATTCAATCATCTTCATTTTGCAAAATAGAAAATGAAGGCCCACTCTTCTTTCTTGGCAATGTGCCAGATTGGAGAATGTTCTATAAAACACTTAAAAATGGCATATAAAACATCATCAACATTATCTCCCATGCACAGAGTAAGTCATAATTACCAGGAACTCAGTTAAGTTGGAAAATGAAAACCATGTGGTGAAGGGACATGGAGGCCGCTGCTGCTGCTGCCCGGGTTTGCTGAAGATTTCTTAACCTAATGATGGTTTTGGACAGTTCTTCAGGTGGGCACGGAATTCAGTGCAAGGCCTTGGGTCAGGGCAAGGAGGAAAGTTGGGCTGTTTGATGGGTGTTTTGCTTTTGTGAAAGTGAGAACTAGGGAAAAAAATTCTCACACAAAAGAGATGATAAGGAAACTGTCTTTTTCTGCCTGGACTCTGGTAGAAAAACATCTCTAAGAATTTATAATATAGATATTCCCTTGCAGGGGTTTAGAGCCAATTTTATGTGACCTCCCTGGTTTCAAAAACCCCAACCTCAGGTGGCCTATTAACATCCTGGGGTGCCTGGCTGAGGCAATGTAAATTTCCACTGCAGGGGCAGATTTCAACCCTGATGCACAGGCTTGTCACAGAGATACATGGGCTGAATGAACACTAACACACTAATCAAATTTTATCTAACACACAGGGAAACAAATGTCCACAAGGCAGAATCATTGGATAAAGGACATAAAATTAATATACTTCAAATGTTTAAAGAAAAATGAGCCTCACTTTGTTTAAATAGAACTCAGCAAATTTGTGGCAAAAATCTAAACTGTATTCCATCCAGGGCCAGCTACATAATTTACAGGGTCCTGTGCAGAATAAGAATGCAGGGTTCCTTGTGAAAAAATCAGGGAAAAAATGTTATAAAACGTGCTAAAAGAGAAAAAGCTTTTTCTTTAAAAAAGATTTTATTATTTGTAAACCATAACAGGAATAATAGTAAAGTATGAGTAACAATACAAACTTACAAACTGCAATAATATTTTGGTATCATAATTTAAAATAAATAATAATTAGTAATATAACAACTAACTATGTAATTTTTCTGACTCAATTTTCCGCAAATTCATTTATTAGGCCATCAAAATTTATACTTTTACCAATTTAATTTTCAATTAATATAATTGAAAGCAATGTCAGTCCTCTTCGCAAATGCAAAGTTGCAAATACTTCTTGAGATGAATTCCTGATAAATTATTTTGAAATATGCATTTTAGCACATCAAGAGCTAATGATTCTTTTTTTTTTTTTTTTTTTTTAATGGGATGGAGTCTCACTTTGTTGCCCAGGATGGAGTACAGTGGCATGATCTCGGCTTACCACAGCCTCCACCTCTTGGGTTCAAGTGATTCTTCTGTCTCAGCCTGCAAAGTAGCTGGGATTACAGGGATCTGGCATCACACTAGGCTAATTTTGTATTTTTAGTAGAGATGGGATTTCACAGTGTTGGTCAGGCTGATTTCAAACTCCTGACCTCAAGTAATCTGCCTGCCTTGGCCTCCCAAAGTGCTGGGATTATAGGCGTGAACCACAATGCCTGGCCAAGAGCTAATGATTCTTGCAGAAAAACTTTTCTAAAAAGATTTAACTCTATTCAAATTGGTTTATCATAAGTCTGAATTTAATTTTACATGTAAATATATACAACAGCATTTTATTTTATTGTTTTCTCTAACATTTCTCTAAAAATATTGTTTTATCTAATATTTCCTATAATTTATGGCAGTCATACAAGAAACCAAAGATGGCTTCATAATTTGTATACAATTCAGAACAACTGTTTATGCATTCTATCACTATATATCCCTTGGCAGAAAAATTAGTCTTAAAATTGTCTTCCTTGTTAATAATTGGTTCATCCAAAGCTTCATATAAGAATACTATTTTTTTCTTTTGAATGTGATGACTTTGAACTGTTTCTGTTTCTGAGTCTGTGGATATTTGCTCTGCAATGTTGCAGAAGTTTTTAAAACCAGATAGTTTTAATAACTCTCTGATATGCTTTAGTGCAATGTCCATGAGCACAGTTTATTTTGTAATAATTTATTGACAAAGTTTATGGCCTGAGTACAGGGAGTTTCTGTCCTAGTACTCAGACCAGAGAGTTAATTTTGGTACAGATGCTATAAGGACAGTCTTTGGGGGTAGAAGGGCGAGCCGTGATCTTGGTGCTGCCGCCATGCAGAGCACATAGTCTCTCCCTGAGCCATGGCAGCTGCTGCCACTGTTGATGTTTGTGCCCATTGCTCAGGATTCCAGAAGACCCAAGCCTGCACACAGCGTGTTCACATCTGTCATGTCTGCTCTGATCATGTTTCATTGTCTCATCAGACTTCACCTACCAAACACAAGTTCAAAGGTAAAATTACTAAGAATTTCAAGTCAGTGACAACTAAGCATTAAGCTGTGGCCCTTCAGTTGAGCAAACCCTGTGAACTGCAAACGGTCTCACCATCAGCAGAGAGCTACACTGATTATACAGTTTTATTTTGTTCCCCCAACTACTTTAAAAGTAGATACTGCAAATTTATTCTCCCCCGAGAAATACTGGGAAAATTGATGTATAGAATAATTAATGTATTGGCCTCAATTCAAACAAGGTAGTAATAAAGTTTAAGTGTAGAACCTAGACCATCCATTTGATTTTAAGCTTGAGGTTGTTTTAGATGTTTACTTTTTCATAGTCATGTCAAAAGTGCACAGATTTTCTTTATCTAAAATTTTTGGTGTTTACCAATGTTTCCCTTAGTTTACTGCTGATTCTATCCAGGAGAGCTAGGACTTCAACTCAACTCTAAGCACAGCCTTAAAAAATCCTGCTTATATTTGATGACACTTATATTTGATGAAACTCAAGAAAATTTATTATACTCCATGATGAACTGCTTTATATAGAAAGTCCATAGTATTTTTAAAGTCTTTCTATAATGAATGTGCGCAACTGTGTGGTTATGGGTGTGGATATACCACCCTGTGAGTATGTAATCTCTCACTCACACTAGATAACACTTTTTGATATGTTAGTGGTAAAGAATGTATATTTCACATGGTCTTTATATGCATATGGAAAAATCCAGTATGTGGGCTGATAAATATTTACAACATATTCATAAAGTTGGTCTACAACCAGTTTCTATGAAGAATTGTGTAATCCTTACATTGGATCACTCCCCAATCTTTGCTATTTCCATCACTACCTGAAACTAACTGAATCTGGGGTTGAGACAAGAAACACATTTATAGGGGAAATTTTGAATTTTTATTCTTCATGATTTGAAAGAAAGGTACATTGGAAATGGCTTTTGAAAAGCTGGATGATTGAAATGATACTCTAACAGCACTATTGGAGGCTTTGCAAATAGCTAAGTAAAGCCAGTTGGAAAGAAGGGTAAACTAAACTCATTCTTTCCAATGTCTCGTCTATCAGGAAAGAAAACATGAGGGCTACGTCTTCACTTTCAATATGATAGGATAAACACAGAAATGGAACAGCATTCATTTTGTTTAATATTCCATGAAGGTATGTGAGCAGGGTGATATTTTATTGTCTGGGAATATAACAGATGTCTATGTCATTTCCCAGTAATGAAACATGTCAAGAAATTATCATTGCTTGGGAAAATGAAGTTTAAAAGAGCATGCTTTTGCTAATAAATCATAGAATGTAACATAATATGGTGTGACTATGTTAAGCAAATAATTATATCTACAAATGGAATCTGAGCCAGAAGGGAAACATACACTCTTTTGCTGTAGTTTGTACTCCACCCACACTTACACAAGCACACACACTCACACGCAATTCACACATACATACCATATCATGCTTAAAGATCAGGGATGTACTGCTTGATGGCCTAGAGAAACTAGACTAGTGGGAAACACTTGTTAAGATTTGGTTACCTTTGCCCTGTCATCCCTTCTCTAAGTCCCCATGTATATGCCATACTCCCACGATGAAATTTAGAGATATTTTTGTACTTGGTGTACTGAGCCTGCTTACTTATCCTTAAGCCAGAGAGTAGAATTTGGTGAAATTGACTATGCAACTGAATTGAATATCCAAAAACCCTAGTCATTTTCTATTCCCCAAATACCATAATACCAAATGTCCCATTTAGAATCTTCAGGCTTGGTATTTCTATGCTCATTTCAAAATTTGCAATTTCTCTGCTCTTCTCTCTGCTCATCAAATTTGAGGGGACGTAATCCATACAGTGCCCTTTATACAATAAGCACGCAACAAATGTGTACAAGGGAAATATACTAAAATGCCTTTCTGAAGTGCAGACCAATTATTTCTTTCTCTTCTCTTTACCCATTGGACAGACACTGGAGCAGATATTCAAAGAGGTGCCTGAATAGAATTAGTTATTCTTGTTGTGAAGATAAACTTCTGAGGCACCAGATAATGCTGATTTTTTTTCTTTCTTTCTTTTTTTTTTTTTTTTTTTTTTTTGGTCTTTTGAGGCTGGGTCAGCCTGCTTTATGTTCTGAGTGAGCTGTGTAGATGTGTGCCTATGAGCTGGGGGTGAGGTTGGAGGAATGGGTGACTATATTCAGCAGGCTTGACAGCATTTTCTAAATGTTACTACTGTTGGCAAAGTCTTATCTTAGATGAGGTGGTAAATTAGTAAACTGCCATGGAGAAGTATGATTTTGTAAAATTAGATGGGGTAAAAAGAAACACAATTAATTCCAGACCCTCAGGCAAGAGTGATGAAGTAACTGGAGTCTTTGTTCTTTTCAGACTATCAGATACACCATCTTTTCTTCTGAGTAATAGCAGGCACTCTCGGGCTGTCAGATGATATGCCAGGTATGCACTTGCAATGTCAACAAGGCCACCCCAGGGTTACATGTTGGTATCTTTAGGGAAAAAGAGTGAATCACTATCCAGCTGTCTGTTTTCTCCTGTTAACCCTAAGCACCAGTGTTACATCTTGTCACATTTTTAAAATGACCACAGAGTGGTTATCAGCTCTTTTTATAATTAACTTACACTCTAAATTAACCAATGAGATACATGTTGAAAGACCCAGAAAACCCCATCCATATGAAAATACAACTTAGGCCCATGCAATAATTCATATTTTAAAGAAATGCTGAAAACACTTTAGGTAGATGGTGACTGAAAAAAAGCTTCCTTTACTATTTGTGCACAGCCTCATGCTGAGAAGAGAAAAAATAAACATAGAAGAATAGGGTGCAGAGTTGTGCAAACTGATGGCCACACATACGAGCTTAACACTATGTGGGTACTTCCTAGTAGCTATTCTATGTACTGTGTGAGACTTGCCTTCCTTCTGCTATTGTATCTCAGTTTTCTTTGCATCTTCTGAGAAAGTAAGTTCCCAAGTCTTTCAACAATGGGTCTCTGGATTGCTGTTCTCTAAAGGCAGGACTCACTTCATGTAGGTATTATACATACAGGTTTTCATTCTTAACCCAAACAACTTAAAATTATTTGCTCATGCCTAGAATCCCAGCACTTTGAGAGGTTGAGGTGGTAGGATCTCTTGAGCATAGAGTTCAAGATCAGCCTGAGCAACACAGGGAGACCCTGTCTCTACAAAAAATTACAAAATTAGCTGAGTGTGATGGTGCATGTCTGCCACTCACTCGGGAGGCTGAAATGGCAGGGTTGCTTGAGCCTGGAAGGTTGAGGCTGCAGTGATCTGTGATGGGACCACTGCACTCCAGCTGGGGTGACATAGCAAAGCCTGATCTCATAAACACGCAATTCCCACCCCCCAAAACAAAAAAAGATTTAGAAAGAAGGCGTCTTAGAGATTAAATATAGGTCTCATACACCGCTAAAGTCCTTTTTCAGTGGTTTTCTGGAAAGTGTTTCTAGAGACACTTGTTAAGAAAAATAATCAGAAAAATGTGAGAAAACAGACTTACATTAATCATCACTAGATGAATTGCTTTGTCTTTAGGTAGAACCTTTCTGCTGAGAGGGAGGATTTACAACTACGCTCATCTGATTCAGAACATACATGGGATTCACTAGTATGACACCTCAACAAATGGTCACTTCACACATGTCAATAACACTCATTTCACAACTATTTATTGATGATCTATAATTTGCAAGTTGTAGTCTGAGCACTAGGGTATAGCAGCAGGCTCTTTTCATGGAAGATACATGAAATAAGTAAGTAAATAGTAGAGGCAGCTATTTTCATTTGAACTGTGACAGAAAACCTTTCTGAACAGGAGGCTTTGAATGAATTTCTGAAAGGAGTCAGTCAAGCGAAGACATGGGACATGGCATTCCAGGCAGGGGAACAGCCCACTTAAAGGCCCTGAGGCAGAAACAAGTTGGTGAGTTTAGAGAAGCAAACGAACGGTAGTTGGTAAAAGCGAGTAAGCAACAGAGACAGTTGACTGACATGAGGTTGGGTGGTAAGTCATGGACTAGATTACATCAGGCCTTGTAGGCACTGGTTAGAATTTCCGACGTGATTTTATTACAGTGGGAAGCCCTTGAAGGATTATAATCCAAGAGATTACTTGATTTTATATTTTAAATATATCAATCTTACTGTGAATAATATTCTGTGAATAAGAGATTATATGGGCAAGAGAGGAAGCAGGGAGACCAGCTGAGTATTGAAATGATACAGGATATAAATTATAGCAGTAATAATAGCAAACACTTAAACATGCTTATAATATGTCAAGTACTATTCCAAGGACTTTAAATATGGCAGCACACTGAGTCTTCATAACAACTCTACCATAATTTCATGTTACAGATGAGATAACTGAGGCACAAAAAGCTTGAATGGCTTGCCCATAACTGTTAAGTAGCAGAAATGCAATTTGAAGTGTCAGACAGTTTATGCTCTCAGCTGGCCCTCAATTATGGTAGAAGCAGTGGAGGTAGAGAAACATGGAAAGTGTCTTAGTGCTCTATTGCTGTTGTAACAAATTACCACAAACTTAGTGGGCTATAGCTTATGTCTTTATTATCTTCAAATTCTGTAGGCCAGATTTACTGGGATAAAATCAAAACCTAAGCAATCTTATGTTCCTTCTGGAGGCTCTAAGGGAGAATTCATTTCTTTGTGTTTTCTGGCTTCTAGAGGTCAGCCCCATTCCTTGACCTGCATCATTCCATGGCCCTGCATCACATAGCCTTTCTTCCTGTCTCCCTCCATTGCCACCTTTATCACCTTTACCTTGCTGTCTCTCTTTTTATTGTCTCTCTCCCTGATCTAACGCTGATTTTCCTGCCTACCTCTTATGAGAAACCTTACGGATTACATTGTTCCTACCCAGGGAATCCAGGATAATCTCCCTGTCTCAAGATTCTTAATCACAACTACAAGGTCCCTTTGCCATGTAATATTCACAGCTTCTGGAGATTAGAACATGGAAATGTTTTTTTCTGGGGCATGGGAGGGGAGTCATTGTTCAGCCTACTATGCACAGGTTCAAGATGTGTTTTACAGATACTATACAAAAAATTTTGCTGATCCAAAAAAATTTTGGAGTCATTGTTCAGCCTACTATGCACAGGTTCAAGATGTGTTTTACAGGTACTATGCAAAAAATTTTGCTGTTCCATTGGATGTGGGGATTGAGAGAAGGATTTATGAACCAAGGATGCCTTCTGGATTTTTTTGGCTCAGACAACTGGCTGAATGATGCTACCACATATCCAGATGGACAAAACACTGGGGGAGAATCAGTTTTGTTGGGGTAAAATAGAGTTCAGTTTTGTCCGTGATAAGTTTGGGTTGCCAAGCTGAGTTCTCCAGTAGTTGGTTATAAGATAGCCATTGTATATACAGATCTTGAGTATAGTAGAAGGAATAAAGCTAGAAAAAGGAATTTAGGATTTAGCATTTTTATGTTACTTAAAAACCGTAAAATGAGTTGGGATAATCAAAGAAGAGTATTGCTAGAGAAGAGGAGAGACCCAGAGACTGGTACCTTTGTCACTGATCCCTAAAAAATACTTAGAGGTTAAGTAGAGTTGGGAGTCAGCAAAGGAGACTGGAAAAAAAAATGGCCAAGAAGGTAAAAAGAAAACCAGGAAAGTGTGGTGATAGATAATCCCAGAGAAGAGTGGATGGAGACTAAATGTCCACCAAAATCCATTCTCTCCTTCTTCCACAGAATTAGACTAGCAGCTGGGCATGTGGCCACCCATTGAAAAACTGTATTTCCAAGCTCCATTGTGCCAATATGTGACCACAGGACTAAATCTTCACAAATAACATATGCCATTTCCAGGCCATAGCCTTACCACGTTGCACATGTACCCTCCCACACCCAGCTTTCATCACGCTATGGAATGGTAGAGAAATACGAAAGAGAAATGGAGAGCAGAGCAAACCTCATATATGGCCTGTTTTGTGGGAGAGAAGTGAACATAACTATTCTTTCAGGCAAGGTATCGTTAAGGTGTTTTTGTCTTTAAGCCACTATATTGTGTGACTAGCTATATTTTAGTTAATTCAGACATTGTATTAAATTAAATTAAATTTGGCCCAAAGATGTGTCTTGTCTTTGAGTTCCTGTGTAACAAACTGCAACCTAACTTAGTATGTAAACAAATATGCTGCAAACTAACCTAAAAGTATATTGTAATAAATAGCTGAGTCCCAGCCACTTTGCTGTAGCTGAGTTTCAGTCATCACAGACTGCCAAAGATCAGACCATGTCCACATGAGGCAAATACCCAGCTGTAGCCAATCAAACTGGTTCTGTATGCCACTTTCTCTTTCTGTTTGTAAATACTGTCTGCCCACGTTGCTGGGTGGATGTCTGTGAACCTTTCCTGTTTCAGGGTGCAGCCTGATTCCTAAGTTGTTCTTTGCTCAAATAAACTCCTGCTAAATTTAATTTGTCTAAAGTGTTTCTTTTTAACAATTGATGCTAGAAGTGGGGCTTTTCCTAACTAAGCCAATATATATGGCATCTGCATAGTGGTCAGGAGGCAGGTGGCCTAGACATACTGGAATGCTTATGACCTTTATAATGCTATAAAGAAACACTTGGTAAGCTGTGGCCTGCAACAAACTATATGGCCTGCATGCACCAAGACTATAGGGTAAAGAGAAACAACTGGATGTAGCTAGATTACTGTGTATTTCTAGCTCCTTGCTGCTTTAGAAAAATGTTTTTAAAAAGATACAAACTCAGAAAAATAGTGTCCAGAAATTTAGACCCTTTTATAAACATAAGAGGAAAAGCTAACTCCTATACCTTAAGCAAAAAAGAAAAGATAGTTGTTACATGTAACCTTGAAGAAGAATAAAAAAACAAAACAAAAACATTAAACTCCCCAGGGAGAAACAAGCTAGGTAGGCAAAGAATGTATCAAGGGTGTGGTCTTCCAAACCAGGCCTCTTGGTTCAGAAGACCCAAAAGTAGCTGCCATTAAAGTAAGAAAGAGGTGTGTGTTAAATAATGAAACGAAGCAAGAATTAGAGTTATGCTCACAAAAGAACTTTAGTTAGGTTGCTAACACATGGGACTGATTATGAGCCAAAGTATCTTAATTCTATGAAGTTGTTGAGGGAATTGTATTTTCAAAGAGATAATTGCTTAAGCCTTAACCAATATACAGGATATCAAAATTGTATAAGCAGAAAATATGATACAAAAGTTGTACGGTTGCTAAGAGAACACAGTTCCCACCACCTACTTTAGATATGGCCTTGAAGGATAATGAAGTAACAAAAACTTAGCAATTTCACTGGGGCTGAAGGACAATGATCAGGAGTTCCAGGGAGCAGAACTAGTGTCAACTAAGGAACTTAGGTGCCAAAGCAGGGAATCTTCAAAGACCTGTCCAGTCAGAATTCCGTAATTCCTATGGACAAGTGACTGATGTATTTTCCATTATTCTCTTTTAATTATTTATTAAATTTTTTATTTTAAAATAATTTTAGACTCACCAAAAAGTTGCTTGAATATAAAGTTTTCTTATACCTCTCACCTAGCTTCCCCTAAAGTTAATATTTTGCATAACCATAATATAATGATCAAAACTAAGATGTTAATATTGGCAAAATCATATTAACTAAATCAGAAACTTTGTTTTAGATTTCACTAGTTTTCCCATTAATGTCTTTTTTTTTTCTGTTTCAAGATATAATCTGGAATTCTATATTGTATTCAGTTGTCACCCCTCCTCTAGTCTCTTGACAACCTGTGACAATTCCTCAACCTATGGCTTTTCTAGAAAACAGTATTGGTCAGTAATTTTGAAGAAAAATTTTCTTTTCTCAAAATTACTGACCCATACTCTTCAAAAGGGCCAAAGACATAAAAGACATTTTCAAGGTCTTTTGATAAAGTTTTTTCTATTTGGGTTTGTCTCATGTTTTCTTATGAAGAAGTGATTATGTCTTTCTCTGTGTATCATATTGAGGGAATATGAAATAAATATGTCTCGTTAGTGATTATGTTAACTTTGATCTCATGGTCAAAGCAGTTTCTGATAGATTTCTCCACTGTAAGTTGCTAACTTTTCCTTTGTGATTAATAGATGTCTTTGAGATGTTGAGAAATACTTTGTGACTATGCAAATATCTTGTTTCTCATCAAGCTTTTTTCTAATTATTTTAGCATCAGTTAGTAGTACTAATGGTGATTTTCATTTCTTCTATATTTATTAGTTGAAGTTTCTTATCAGGAAGAGTTGTCTCTCACATTATTTATTCATATCAAGTAGACTTATTGATATTTATTATATTTTATGGGTATAATATAACACTATCATTGTTTATTTTGTTGCTCAAATTGTTCCAGCTTGGTCATGTGACACTCTTAGATTTGCTTCTGGATCCCTTTGACATAGCTCTTTCCTTGAGTACCATTTCCTTACTTTCTGACACCATGCAATGCTCAAAGTTCACCACTGTATTTTCCCTGCCAAGCCCTGGAATCTACCTCTTCTCCAAGGACTTCTAGTTACTTTTGTTGGGGAGAATTATGTTTAAAACCAAGAGGAATAGATATGCTCATTTCTACAAGGGTGTCATTACTTCTAGACCCTCTCAGTGCACAAAGATTGGATATATGTATATATATGTACATGCCTCAATTAGTGTGTGTGTATATATATATATATATACACACACACACACATACATATGTGTATATATACACACACATATGTGTATATATATGTATGTATATATGTGTATATATATATATATACACACACTGAGGCATGTACATATATATACATAATATATATACATATATATACACTAATTGAGGCATGTACATCTACATTTCTGTATCTATTTGTATTTATATTTAAAAAAACATTAATTGCTACTGATACATATGATT